TGAGATCCAAGGGTTTCTGCCCCACTGTATGTTGACATAAATGCAAGTCTCCTCCCTCTGGGCGCATCTGTCTTATGGTTGGAAGGTGGCCCCATAGAAGTCTAGGGGCTGTAATGTGCAGTTGCAGCCAGCGGGAGGGAGCAATGGGATGCTGGATGTTAAAGGTGGAACCATGCCCGTCAGATCTCGATAAGTATGAATCTGCGGGAAGGGGTGCAAAAATGATAAATGCGTTTGCCTTTCGTTCAGCTTTCATTTTTTTTTTTTCCCTCAGAATTCTACTTTTGAGGGGTTAGTCAACCCAAAGCTTTAGATTTCAGATTCTAGTGGATACTGAAGCATTATACACTGCCTGTCCAAAAGGAAAAAAAAAATCACACACTCTAATATTTTGTTGGGCCGCCTTTAGCTTTGATTACGGCACACATTTGCCGTGGCATCGTTCAATACGTTTATGCAATGTCACAACATTTATTTCCATCCAGAGTTGCATTAATGTTTCACCCAGATCTTGTAGTGATGATCGGAGAGTCAGACCACTGCGTAAAGTCTTCTCCAGCGCATCCCAAAGATTCTCAATGGGATTAAAGTCTGGAGTGTGTGGTGGCCAATCCATGTGTGAAAATGATGTCTCATGCTCCCTGAACCATTCTGTCACAATTTGAGCCCCATGAATCCTGGCATTGTCATCTTGGAATATGCCTGTGCCATCAGGGAAGAAAAAAATCCATTGATCAAAAAACCTGATCATTCAATATATTCAGGTAGACAGCTGACCTCACTTGTTGCCAGATGAAACATATTAATTATCCAAAAGTGCTTATTTTTTTGCTAAATCCAGGTGGCCACTTATTTTATTTTTCATTTTTTGGTCAGACAGTGTATAACCCAGCAATGTCTCTCTTTATCCTCCAACTTCCTTCTGCTGAAGATGAGCCCATCAGACTTCTCATCACTGTCCAGTCTTGCTGGAAAAAAAAAATACATTAAGATCATTGTCTGTGAATCCCATAAAAGAATACTGAACATTTGTTAACAAAACTGACGACAAAAAATATCAAAAGTTTAGAAATGGATCCTTTTTATGTGGTTTTATTTATTTTATGTATTATTTGTATAAGTAAACATTTACTATAGGCTTCCTGAAAAGATAACTACGTGGTAACTTTTTTATCCCTTCGTTCTCTTTAGGGTCACAGCAGGACATATACTATCCTCCTCCCGTGACCCAAAGCTCAGTATATAGCAGGCAGTTGCCCGCTATATACTGAGAGCGCTGCACCCGGGATGGATCCCGACAATACTGTCAAGATCCACCCAGCTGGCTGATTGACAGCGGGCTCTGCCTATCTAGAGGCAGAGCTATCTGCGCCCGCCCCCTCCCGTTTCATTCCTCCAGTCAGCCGGGAGGGGGGGGGGGATCCCTGCGGGGGGTGATGACTGACAGTCACCGCTCTCTGCAGGAAGATGATCGGGAAGTGTATGCTTTCGCTCACTTCCCGATCAATAGAGCCGACGTGTGGCAGTTTCAATGTCCACACGTCGGCTCTAACTGTGAGGATGAGTGTAAATCACTCACCTCATAGTTTTCCTTTTAACCCTTATTTTGTAAGTAAGTTACAAAATAGGTGTCAAGGAGTACGTTGGCCTGCCTTATTGCATCGCCTGACCACTTGTTGACTGCTTCTGTCTAACTGAAAGCAGTATGTGCTAGAGGAAAGGAGTGTCCCTGCTGTGACTTATGTATGTCACCCATACATACATAGTGCACATTCACATCAGTCCCAGGGCAGGGACTGATGTGAATGGGCACTATGTAAAGCACTGCGTAAATTGTCGGCATTATATAAATAACTAAGAACTGTAGGGTAGCCTCAGTCCTGCCCCCTGTTGGCTGGCTGGTGGGGCATCTTCATGACGTTTTCTTATTTCTCCCAGTGCAATGCCCAGAGGCCAGGGCCTTGCAGCGATTTGCGCATGTGACACCATCAGACATCATACATGGAGATGCGCTGGGTGGACCTGAATGACCAGAACCTGAAAAAGAATTTGATATGGAGAACAGAGAAAGAGAAGTTATTTAGGGTCCTAGATTTGTGCACAACCTCTACAGAAGGCCAGGATAAAACTGTAGCCAGTGCATACATTCCCCTGTACTTGGCCCAATCACTGAAATCATTCTTTTTAAGTTGGTTTGTTTTTAATCATTTCAGCAGCAGGGTGTGCAACTCCTTGTTCGTTTAATAGATAGAGGCGAGCCGCAGGGTATACACCATCCCAAGCTGCGACGCATCCTCCCCACTTTTTCCGAAAATGTAAATATTGGAAACGGAAAAACATAGTCATGAATCCTCTTGTTTGATGTCTACCCTGGCATTGACCTGGTTAATCACGCGCATAATGTGGTGTAATTCAATCTTATTTCCCTAGCTGGGGCAGGGAGGTAGAGACACTGCTGGATGTGTCTTGCCTGTAGCGGGAGGCAGCTTTGTGTGTCACAGACAACGCTGAGAATCTCCCTGGCGGAAAAGATTCTATGCTGAACAGGAATATATTTTTCCAGCCTGACCCTGTGACTGTTATTATTTAACCTTCCAGCAGGTATTGGGCCCTTATTATTCATATCGCTCACGTTTCCTGTGAAGAGGCACTCTGGTCTCTCCCTTTTAATTCAGTGAACTTAGGAGCCATGAATATTGCTGTTGTGAAAACATAATTAATATTCTCTCACTTCAGGGTAAAATGTAAAGGAATCTCTGTGTTTTCCTGAGGACGGAAACACAGAGTTCAAAGTGTAACTAGTACCATGATATTAAGACGCTGACATTTTGGTACATCTAAAATCTTAGTGTTCCGCAGCTGCAGTTTTCCTACCTACACATCCCGGTGCTGTTTTTGACTAATACTTCAATACTATTGTTTAGAGCCCATTCACACCTCTGTGTGCGGTAATGTGCGTTAAAGTGCATCTAAACCAGGGGTGGGCAACTCCAGCCTTCCAGCTGTGCTTTAACTGCAAATTCCAACATGTCTCTGCCTCTTTGAATGATGCCTGTGAGTGTCAGTCTTGCAATGCCTCATGGGACTTGTAGTTCCATAACAACTAGAGAGTTGCCCACCCCTGATCTATTTTTTTGGTATGAATCTATTTTTTTGGTATGTTTGGCATCATGTCTCAATGTGTACAGGTTTCTTTAACAAATCTTTTTTTTTTAGAAGCTGTTACAAAGTTTCTGGCCTGGAGATCCTGCCAGAAGCAACACTTCCTGTTGAACGCTGACAACACTAAGGCCTCATTCACAGCGTTAAGTGGTGCCGCACACGTCCGTGCAGGGTGCACAGCCGTATCGGGCCGTTCCCGTGAGGGACAGGTGATGCGTGTGATTGTACGCAGCAGCCTGTTATTCCCTATGGAGGAGGCAGCTGTACACTGTCATACACACACACCGAACTGCACATCCATGCCGGTCCGGGTGTCCATGCTCGGACGCAGACAGGATCCATTGTGTCTGTGTCTGAGTAGGGACACCTAGTCCCGCATGGATGTGCAGTTCGGTTGTGTGAACGGCCGCGTCCTCCCATTGGGAAGAACAGGCCGCACACAGTAACCTGTCCCTCCTGGGAACGGCCCGATACGGGCATGCACGCTGCACAAATGTGTATGGCCCGACTTGAATGAGGCCTAAGGCACTGCATTGCAATTTGAAGCAGTATTGTCAGTCTGTCTTGTGTGCTCCTTTAGTTGGCCATAGGGCAGTCTATCGGGTCTGTCAGAAAAGCACCCAACTGGCAGATAAAGGATATGTGTTTAACATTGCCAAACTGGTGCCGAATGGTGCTTTAAACTCTTTAACAAAGTTGCTCAAAGCTGGCTGAAGGCTTTGCAAATTCTTCCTGTACACTGGCCATACACTGCTCCAATTTTGGCCTGTTGACTTGGCCAAAACACAAGCCGTGGGTAGCCCTATCCGCAACACTCTTTCCAACAAAAGTTGATTTTTCAATCAATTTATGTCTAAAGTGCCAGGCCGAAAATTGTCAGCTGAACCGTGGCTGTGACCAATCGCTGTTCAGGTTTTTCTGATATTCGGATGCCAGCCTGGATGGAGGAATTGAGTGGGGGAAAAAAACTATACATAGAAGCTGACGCCCATGTGAACAAGGCCTGAGGCTGAAAATTCACCTTGCGTTTTTGTGTAAAGTGTTTTCCATGAAAATCAATGTTAAAACACAGAGTGGCATGCGTTCACATGCATTTTAATGTGGTATTATTAATTTCAATGAAAAACACGTTGGGGAAAAAACCTCACAGGAAAAGGTGTGTTTTCAGGGAAATGCAGTGAACACAACTACCATTTAAACATTATTATAATGGGTTGGCTACTGTCCTGTGCAAACTGTCTTCTTTGTTGTTGGTTGATTAAACTTATGTATTAAAGTATTAAAATGGGATTATAGACAAAAGGAAAATGTAACTTTGGGAAATTGATCAGAGTGGATAACACCTTTTTATTGATTGTAATTGATTACCAGCACTTCATTTTGCAGATGCCTCCACAGAGCTTGTACCATAACGAATGCCCCCAACTGCCTGAGGCATTTTCCTCACAGGGTGCTTAGTCGCAAGTGATGCTCAAAAATAGACTTGTACTTATCAGACCATCAATGACCAGCCTAAAATAAGCCAAAGGCAGCCTGTGCTCAGATATTACGCATACCTCCAAAGATGGGAAGCGGAAATGTTTTCCATACTGCCAAAGCTACAAAGAGTCTCGTGTCTCCTCTCAAGGGCCCTACAATTGTTTCCTCTATAGTGTAAATGTGCCCAGATAAAGGAGAGAAAGTTACCACACCCTGTAAGTCTTGTGACATTGCTTCGCCCCTCTTATTTACTGTCCAGACACCGGTTCACTAGTGCTTTATTGTAAATCCATATATTCATGGGCACATCTGCCTTGTTTTACTGGGCAATCATGCGCCTCATTTTTTTTTCTTTGCAGCCATGTCTTCCTATATGTTCATTATCAAGTCTGAGTTACCAGCTGCTATTGCGGGGTTTCTGTCAGGTGACCACCATGGGTAAGTAACAAAAAACAAAACAAATTAAAGATTAGTTTAGTAACAAACCTAATAAATGCATAAATAAAACAAGCAAAACGATGTACATTCCCTTTAAGAAAATGGCTATTTTGGCTTTTTTCAGGGCCTGGTATCTTGATGGCAGACTGGTATTAATAATCACATTGGCCTGCATTGTGTTCCCGTTGGCACTGCTTCCAAAAATCGGTAAGGCCGAAAAAAAAGACTTTTGAAATCCCTCTTAATGGGATGGCAAAGGAGAGGGGGGCCCCCATACAAAGCAGCGAAACCGTTTTTCCATTTGGGATACTTTAATTTGTTTCAGTCAGGGGGCCTGGCTTGTTAAGCTGTTTCTTGGGCTGCAGTAGTGTGTTGTCTGTTATACAAAAATAAAATCTTTACAGGGGAACATTAAAGGGCAGCCCTTACTTATGGCATTCCATTAGCGACAAAGCTCGTCCTAATTCGGCCCTACTAAACGACATGAATGATCTGTGACAGGCCCTGGGCCGGCTGTTATGCCGAGCTGTAAGCTCCAGATTCCACCCACTGTATAATAAAACATACCAGAAATGTAAACCCTTAGCCCTGCATTAAGATCAAGTTCCATATAAATTGCTTTTTATTTTACTGTTATTTTACAGGCTTTCTTGGCTACACAAGTAGTTTGTCATTTTTCTTTATGGTCTACTTCGCCATTGTGGTAAGTTCCTAAAATAACAATTTTTTTATTTTTGCCTTTTTTTTTTTTTTTCTTCCGAGGGGCTTAAGTGGCCAAAATGACTTACTCCCTTTTCACTTCTTTAATGAGCCCGTCATGAATAGTGCAATCTCTTTTTTTTTTTCTTTTTTTTTACGTCTCCTAATGTATTTTTATCACCTCCACCCTTTGTCCTGCGTTTTAGGTCGTGGCGGTTACAGAAGAGAAATAATGTGCGCAAATGAATTTTCATAATCCACTTTTAGGAAGTCTTTATATTTTAATGTATCCATGGAGAACACATCATTTTATACCTTGTATTTAATGAGCCCGTCATGAATAGTGCAATCTCTTTTTTTTTTTCTTTTTTTTTACGTCTCCTAATGTATTTTTATCACCTCCACCCTTTGTCCTGCGTTTTAGGTCGTGGCGGTTACAGAAGAGAAATAATGTGCGCAAATGAATTTTCATAATCCACTTTTAGGAAGTCTTTATATTTTAATGTATCCATGGAGAACACATCATTTTATACATTGTATAAGTATGAAAGGAAGGGGCCTAACTTGGGCTCGGCCCAAAATTTTCAGCTATTAAAACGAAACGTGCTGCACCCAGCTGATCGTTAGACTTCTGTGAACTGCCTGTGATGGAGAGTTTTTTTTAAAGTGAACCTTATTCCATTTGAAATCATTAAAAGTAAATGGCGCAACATGCCTGCTATACTTCATTAGCTGGAAGGGCCTTCATTGTGGTGCTCTCTAATTTCTCAGTGAAATCCCAATTGTATGGCTAAGAGCTTGTTTACTGATCACTGAGTAAGAAGATTGCCATTTGTAGCACCTAATCTTTTATTTCTGGGGGTCCTGATGGAGTGTCTCTCCTGTGATCAAAAATGAAAATAGTTTGCAAATTTTTTTTTTTTTAGCACAAATCGGCATAAAAAGCATATATACATCAGGTCTCAACTTACACCTAGAAAGTTCTATCTGCAAGGAATTTGTATTAGGGATGCACCAATGCCAGTTTTGCGTTATTGAGTAAGAGTATCAATATTCTTTTTTGTACTTGGCAAAACCCGATAACGGATGTCCCATTGAGAAAGCCGGGCGGTGTGTAATGACTGATTAGCCAGGAAGCTGGCTCCATACTCCCTCGTCACCAGGTGATGAGGTCCGGGGGGGGGGGGGGTAATGACTCGCCGCCCAGCTTCCTGATTAGCCAGCTTTGCAACCAATCAGGAAGCCGGCTCCATGCTCCTTCATCACCAGGTGGAGCCGGCTTTGTGGCCAGGAGGCGGGTAATGACTCTCTCCAAGGCTTCCTGATTGGCCGGGAAGTCGGGTCCATGTGCCCTTGTCACCAAGTGATGCCGGAAGTTCCAGCTTTGGAAGCATTTAAGTGAGTATGATACTAGTATCTGTATCAGTGCATCCCTAGTTTGCATGTTTGCATCCCACATTCCAAAGACATGTTGGCAAGTTAATTGGTTCATGTCTAGAGTGGCCCTGTATGCAAGATAGGGATTGTAAGCTCCTTGAGGGCAGGGGCTGGTGTGAATGTGCAGCTTGTAAGTCGCTGTAGAAATTGGCAGCGCTGCATAAATACCTGTAATAAATAATTTGGCAGCATTGCTAAGTAGGATGCAGAGCTTGTATATGTAGTTGGCAAACTACCACCATACACACATAAATTCACTAAATATACTAGAAAAATAGGTGTTTTTTAAATCATTAACCCTAATTAATAAGATAATTTACATTTAAAGTAGAACTGAATCCAAAACCTTTTTTTGGGAGGGTTTTGGAATAGAGTAAGGGAGGGTTAAAACCCCATCAGCTTTTAGTTTGCCATCTGTGTCCTATTAGAGAGATTTCTCTTCACTTCCTGTCTGAAAGTCACAACAGGAAATTACATGAAATCCCTGCAAAGTGAGGGAAATCCCTGGTGGCCAGCAGGGTCTCTAGAACTAGCGTCCCCATTGGAAGGTTTCCCAACTATTCTTGCTTTGATGACAACTCAAAATTTGGGATTTTCTTTCACTTTCAGTGATAACGGTCACCAGGACAAATTGGGAGGGTGAATCTTCCTAACAGGGACACCGACAGCAATATAAACCTGACAGGGGTTCTAATTCCTCTCCACTCTATCCAAAACTAACTTCAGGTTTCAGTTGCACTTTAGTTATGTCAGGGCTTTGCTGTGTATATCTCATGACTGGATGGACATAAATCTAATCCTTTGGCAGGTAAAGCCGTTCTTGTATATGCATTTCATCTGTGTATTCAGCGGATTGCCCAGCAGATTGCCTGAAGTTCACCTTTTAAGACTTGTATTTGTCTGTCAGAGATTGATTCTGTTAAACAGTCTAGAGTTACAGTGCTGTTCAAAATGTTTTTCCCCAAATGGATGAGTCACATAATCTGAGCGTAGTATTAATATTTTTGTTTTATTCATTTCTATTGCACCGATGTATAGAAAACCATAAACCGCTCTGCACAATGTGTCAATCTACTCCAATCTGGAATTTTCTTTTATTCACTGAAATATTGAAATCCAGGTTTGCATAAATTTGCATAATTGCCACAATCTGCTATATAGAAATGAAATAAATAAGTAACTGGACCCCTTTTGATGAGGAAATGTTCATATTACAAAATTTATCAGCAGGACGCGTTCAGCTGGCCGTAAAAAGGTTAACCTTTAGTTGATGAATTGGGGTCACGTAGCTCGTGCCCCTTCACCAGCTGCTGTGCTTATATCACTAGTGTGACCTTTCCTGTGACTGGTAGGAAGGTTGTACTTGTTATATGCAGACGTAATACAGTGAGGCCTGCAAACATTTTGTGATTATGGTCGGTTTGAGTCGCATCAGAATTTTTTGTCATGCATTTGCATTCCAAGTATCTCCTTTACTTTTAAATTTGGGATGCACCCATACTAGAATCGTACTCGTCCAAATGCTCACGATGCCTGTCCCGATACCGGAACTTCCAGTATTAGGAAGCCGGGAGGCGAGTCATTACGCATTGCGCAGCTTCCCGATTGGCCAGGAAGCCGGCTCCATGCTTCCACGTCACCTGGTGACGAGGGAGCATGGAGATGGCTTTCGGCTAATTGGGAAGCCGAGCAGCAAGTCATTACACGCTGTCCTGCTTCCTTAATGGGACTTCCCGGGATCGATATTCGGTATCGGCGAATACCGGAAAAAAATATCGGTACTTGTACTCGATACCGAAAAACCGGTATCGGTGCATCAATCGTTACATAGTTAGTCAGGTTGAAAAAAGACACAAGTCCATGGAGTTCAACCTATCCCTACTTTAAATGTCTGAAATAGGACATCTGTGTGATACCTCTGGAGGGGGTTCGATTAGTTTGCATGTAATGCAACCTTCCCGCTACCCCTGTATCATATTGGATAGTTTTTTCATCTTCTGGACCAGAAACATCAGATTTGGAATCAATTTAGTCATTTTTAGTCTGAATTAAACTGGCCATACGCTACTCTCAGTTCCCCCAAATGGTCTCTCCTGCCAGGCTGTTGTATTCTAACAACCGGTGGCTAAGCTGATTGGCAGTAGTCACTGTTCAGCTGACAATTTTTGGCCCGACTCTTTCAACAAAAGTAAATTGGGAAAACCTACTTTTGTCGGACAGAGTGGATCCGCAAGGGCCACCCGCAGCTTGAATTTCTGCTGAGTAAGCAGGACTCAAACTCCTAAAAATAAAAACCCAAGAAGGAGCTAAACTTTCTCCACTCCCTAGGAAGCCAGCACTCTATCCCTGTCTCCCAATTGCTCTCTCCAGTTGTCACATGGGCTTCCAATGCAGGCCATAAGCCACCATGCTGACGCACATTTCACAGGCATAGTCCACTCTTGTCACCATCAGGAACCCCATAACTGAGAAACACTGATGCTGGAGTGCATGCATTGAGGGCCCGTTGACACCAATACTGCACATCCCGGCCCTAATGCGCTCGACTGCATGGTACTGCAATACTGTGCGTAGCGGTTGAAAAAAGTGATGCCTGCATGCGTGTGTTGCGTTAATGCACGGCGTCAGTGTGAATGGCCCCTGAAGAGAAGTGACTACAAAGGAGAACAGCAGCAGTAAGATGTAGCAAAGGTGAAAATAGCATCTAAGGGGGAAAAATTACAGTTTCTTTATGCTACACAGTGCTTTAGTGGACTATATTATAGGGCTGCAACCAACTAATCGATAATGAGAATAGTTGTCAACTATTCTCATTATCGATTAGTTGGTTGCATCCCTTAGCTCTCTCCTCCATGCTGGGAGGAGGGCACAGCAAGCAGTGGGTAGGTGGGTGCAATACCCAGCCTGCTATTGCAATTTGAAATGGCCAATAGCAGGCTGGCTATTGCACCAACCCACTACCTGCTGTATTTACATTCAGCTGCCGTCTGCGGAATCTTGCCACTGGCAGCTGTCCTTCCCTGGCTGAAGCTATTTAAGCGCCATGTGCTTAAAATACAGTTATAAAAAAAACATTATACAAGGTGGAAAAAAGTTAAGTTCAATGGCACTGCAAATGTGCCTCCCACCCACAGTGTGTTCGCCCGCACTGGAATGCACAGTACCACAATGCTGTGCAGTGCGATTACAGAAAATTGTGCATGCAGTTTGTGTATATATGTGTATTTTATTTTAATTGAAAGATGGTACTTATTCTCTTTTTTTTTTTTTTTTTTTTAAATCCGATTAATCGAAAAAATTGAAAATAATCATTAATTGGAGCCCTAATATATTACATTCAGTTAAGGTATACACAATCTAATTTATGAAGGTGCTAAATCATCAAAAGAAATAAAATATCAGGGTGTTTGTGTACTATGTAATAAGCTCTGTCCAAGGTTCAGAAGGATAACAGATAAAAGTCCCATATTTTGGTACTTAAGGATGACATCTATTTGTGCAGACCCAAAGGTAAAGATGAAAGGTAGTGTGTGTCCCCAAAGGCAGTGGCCAGTTTTTCTCAGTCCTCGGGGTATGACGGTGTTGACATTGTAATAAGGACTTCCACAAGATGAGTGGCAGCGCAGATAAGCTAATGTGTCATTTCAAGGTGATCTAGTGACACATGCTTGAGCAAAGTACAGACACCAGAAGCCCTGGCAGCCGTGACACTATGCTACCAGTTCTGGGGTTGTAGATGGCGTTCTCTGTGTTTTGTGATCTTGAAGTATTTAAATGAGCCGTTTTTTCTTTTTTACTGTTTATCATCACATCTGTCTTTTGAATGATCTTTAGCTGATTCCCTCTCGTATTTATTTGACAGTAAACTAAATGTGGCTGTATGCTTAACATATGGATTTAACCCAACTAGCTCCCATTGTTACATAGTTTGTATCAGACCAGGGGTAGGCAACCTCGGAACTCCGGATGTGTTGAAACTACAAGTCCCATGAGGCTTTGCAAGACTCTGACAGCCACCGATATGACTCGCAGCGGCATGATAAGATTTGTAGTTTCACCACAGCTGGAGTGCTAGAGGTAGCCTACCTCTGAATTAGACTGTCCGCAGTAAGCAAGCAGATTTTAAGATGACACGCCAAAGTAATTTTGTAAATGCAAGGAAAGATCTGCAAGTTGTATGAACTGGACTAGGAGGATATATAAAGGTAGATGCAGCTTTCCTGGTAAACATGGCTGCATTTGATATTCCTATGACCTAACTGAATGCTTTTATGTTTTCACTTTACAGGTTGTGATAAAAAAATGGTCCATTCCTTGCCCCCTTCCTCTGAACCACACTATGCTATACATGGAGGTAAATGGCATTACTGCAATGGGTAGTTTACATATCTTGTTGGAAATATGTCTGTTTGTTGAATGGAGTTTGAACCCCTGCCTGGTTTGTGTCCCCCGTTCACCCGATCTTTTATCTTGGTGAGCATTGTAACCAGGAACAGAAAGAAATTAGAAATCCAAAAACCAAACCGAAGACTAAGGAAATTATTTCAGTTTGTGCCAGGGACAACTTTGTTGTCCCCGACAGGATTTTTCTTCCCTTTTTCTATTGTGCTTACAGGACAGGAAGTGAAGGGATGGACATTGACAACAAAAAAAGCAGCTTTATCAATTCAAAACTTAAAGTTGAACTCTGGGCAAAAAAAACAAACCTCTATTTATATATATTCCTCAATACCAAGGATATGAATTCACTTTGTGTGCTCTAAATGCCTTTCTGAGGACCAGTTACTATCTTGTAAAAGTAGAAGTGGCATCATCACTGTGCTGTAGATGGCCTATGTAGAGAGCAGAGCCATGGGAGGGACTCGGCAAGCTCCACCCTCTACAGGAGGGGGCGAAGACAAAGAGAGAACAGCAGTGACCAGTCTTTAATACAGGACGCTACTGCACAGAGGCAAAGCTTCATGCTGGATTACTGCGCAGATCCAAGATTTAAATGAGAATATATATATGGCTCTTGTATTAGACAATCCTGGAGTTCACCTTTTAAAGCAGATTTACAATAAAAACTAGGGATGCGCCGATACCGGTTTTTCGGTATCGAGTACCTATTTTTCCCGGTACTCGCCTATACCGAACACTGATATTGGAAGTCCCATTAAGGGAAGCCGGGCGGCATGTAATGACTCGCCAGCTGGCTCCCTGATTAGCTGGGAAGCTGGCTCCCATGCCCCCTCGTCACCAGTTGACGAGGGAGCGTGGAGCCGGCTTTCTGGACAATCAGAAAGCCGGGGGCGGTTAATGACTCGACACCCGGCTTCCTAATTGGCCAGCTTCCCGGCCAATCAGGAATCATGGAGTCAGCTTCCCGGCCAATCAGGAAGCTGGTCGGCATGTAATGACTCGCTGCTCGGCTTCCTGATACCGGAAGTTCTTTATCGAGATAAGCATCTGGAGCATTTGGACGAGAGCGAACCCAAATGTATCGGTGCATCCCTAATAAAAACACTAGAAAATCTTGTTGGTCCCCAACACAAAGTCTGGAAACTACAGCATTGAGCTTCTATTTTCTTTGGCAGTTGGGGACCAATAGGGAAATTATAGATCATTTGTAACTCTTATTTTGTTTGACCAAGGTGTCTCAGGGTGTAGCCCTGTATAGTGTTGGCTACCCATGGGATAATAAACATGTTGATTTGGATTCAGGCCAGTTTAGAATACATACAGTAGATTGGGTTGTGGGTGGGTAGCAGTATAATACTACCAAAAGACGGTTGGGGTGGGGGTTACTGCAGTAGATTTGTGTGCTCGGTGTAGTGTTGGATTACTTGTATGTCGTGCAGAGTTGTTCATTCTCTGGGTGGACACCAGGCAGAGTGATATTTCCAGTGCTTCCTCTGCCCTGAGTCTTTTAGCTTTACTTAATCTGCATGAATCTTACTGTTCAGCGTGTGTCAGGTGGTCTCAGGCCTGGCAGGTGCTTCAATGTCAACTTTAGATGCTGAGAAATAGTTCATAATGTGCAGCACTGGACTAGCGCCAACTGTCAAATGACCTCTGACCCCCTGTCAATTATGTGTTACATTTTAGCAATGTTTTACCTGTTGTATGTAGTCTAAAATGCAATATATATTTCTTTTTTCCAGATGTCAAACAGCTCGGAATGTAAAGCTAAACTTTTTGAATTTTCAAAAGAGGTGGGTTATGAAAGAATGGTACATATTCACACAAGACATGTTTTATAAAAGTTTCAGTTTGTTTCATTTATGCCCTTTTCTGCTGTTTCATTTATATGGTGACTAAATAACTCATTGGTGCATTAGTAGTAACCAAAATTGCTGAAACCCTGATATCCAATTGTTGGATGACACTATCTTTTCTCTGGCATGACATAGAGGAGGAGGAGCCAAGCTGTCAATCACATTTTTTCTTGTGAAAGTCACATCACAACTGAAAAGAAGATGCACTGGGTGCTGTAATTAAGTAGTTAACACAGCATATAAATAATGAGACCATAGTGACAACATTGCCACTGCCATAATGCTCATGGGTAGCAGTCCTATTCATCATCTTGCTCACTGTTCTTCTTGGTTCCTACACTGCAGGACTGAGGTAGGTGGGATAGTAGAGTTTGGGATCTTCTGGGCTCTTTGGGGTACTCCTAAGGGCAGATGTTAACATACGGGCAATGCAAGAAAAGTTCTTACAGTATAAGCTCTATAAGGAAATGTGGTAAGTGTGACGGGAAGCTAATGTCAGCTGGAATGGTGGTAGGAGGGGCAGGAGGCATATGTCAGCGGGAATACTGGTAGGAGGGGCAGGAGGCATATGTAAGGGGTAGTGGCGGTAGGACAGGCAGGAGACGTATGTCATCGGAAGTAGCGGTAGGAGGGGCAGGAGGCATATGTCAGGAGTAGCAGTAGGAGGGGCAGGGGCATATGTCAGCGGTGGTGGTGGTAGGAGAGGCAGGAGGCCATATGTCAGGGGAGCGGCTGGAGATGCAGTGGGGAACTTTGCTGTTCCTTTTTATCCAAAAGTAGAGGTCTTTGGAAACAGCTGGTGAAGTAGATTTGGGCAAGAGCTACATGGGTAATTTTTTTTATCATTGAGAGGTTTAACCACTTAAAGGCAGTCACCTCATGGGGCAAGAGCTAGATGGGAGTTGTTTAGTAGTTCTATCGTGCTGCTAAAATTGCTAGTGTTTCAATCGCTAGGAGTAGCAAATGTCTCCCTATGACGTAAGCTACAAAAGCAGCATACAGTAGAATCTTGTAGCGATGACTCGCACATGATTAGATTTTATGATCTTATGAGATAGAGAGGTTCACAAAATTAGCAGAGTCTTACCATCACAACAAAAATGTCCTGCAATAAAAGCTATGATGTCTATTTATAACGTGCCAAGTTTTTGGTGCCGCCAGACCTGCGCGCCAAAATGAAACCATCCACCTCATGTATAACAATGATATAGTAGAAGTGGAGTGGCAGCAAAGGACACAGAAACGGGATCAGTGCATCTTTTTCTCATAGATCATCTTAAGTGGTCCTTGGCATAACAATGATGATGTACTGATATGGAGGCCGAGAGATCTTCTGATCTTCTGAACTTCAAAAGCTGGCACCATCCAAGGGGATAATAGGCCCCCAGGGGGAATTGGGTTTCACTGAGCTTGACCGATGGTGGGATTTAAAATGTTGGGGACATTTAAAAATGTAATCCAAGGATGCTTGTTCTTGTCAAGCCTGATTTAACCACAGGCTTTTATAGCGGTGTTGGGTTACAAACACAACACAATGAAGTGGCTCTCTTTAGTTATTATCTGGGATAGAGCTACCTGTGCATAGTAACCGCTGAGATTGTGTCACAGCTGGATAAGAGGAGTGTGAAATTGGTTGTTTTGCCATTTTCTCCTTGTTTATCTTACATGCTGAAAACTATTGGGTCACTGCGTATGTTTCTAAAGGGGGTTTTCTTAGTTAAAGGTGACCCTATAACCATAGTCAAAAGAACCACCTTGTACTAGTGGACATTTCTTTCCAGCAGGTGGGGAGTTAAATCTTCACTCTCTTGAAGAGCTTTCTGATACTTCCTGGCATGTCTGATAGCATGCATCCCACTGTGTTTCCTCCTGCTGGCCACTATGTCACTACACAATACAATAGTGATGTAGTGGGCATCGGGAGCAACCACAGAACATAGTGGGGGTGACAGATTGCAGTGGTGATCACAGCTCTTTGAGAGAGCCAATGTTAAACTCCCACTTGCTGAGTTGGTAAATATTAAACTTCTTTTACACGGTTTTTTTTAAAATACGTATGGTAACAGGGCCACTTTAAAGAGTGTTCATCGAAAAAAATGTGCTTTTTGTTTTGGATAGATTAGGGAACGGTTAGAATCCTTGTCAGGTTTTATTGCTATCTCTGTCTCTGCTGGGAAGATTCACATTCTTTTTGACCTGGGGTCCCTGAGCCAGAAAGTGAAATTCAAACTTTTATAGTTGTGACCGGACATAGGGGGTATGTTTCCATTTTCTGCGATTTTTGCTTTCTTTTTGCTTTACAATTTTTTTCAAGAAATTCCCACGTGTGCTTTCATTTTTCGCAGATCCGGATGGAAAAACAGCTTTGCATAATGGAACTTTAAAGCAAATCTGTCATTTTTAAACATTTACTTTAAAAAGTAACTTAAAAAAAGAACTATTGGGTCAGTGGTTTTCCCCATCGTTCTCATTAGGGTCACAGGAGGATATATACTAACCTCCTCCTGTGACCCAAAGCTCAGTATATCACGGGCTATTGGCCACGATATATTGAGCGCCGCAGCCAGGATGGATCCCGACAATACTGTCGTGATCCACCTGGCTGCGTGAGCAACAGCTGGCTTTGCCTATATAGAGGCAGAGCCAGCTGTGCCCGCCACCTATATAGAGGCAGAGCCAGCTGTTCATTCCTCCACTCAGCGTTGGAGGATCAGAGAGGGGAGGGAGAATCCCTGTGGGGAGCGGTGACTGAGAGTCACCGCTCACTGCAGGGAGATGATCGGGAAGTGAGCGGATCGGCTGCATGTTTCTGCTCACTTCCCGATCAATAGAGCCGACCTGTGACAGCTTCTTTGTCACAGGTCGGCTCTAACTATGAGGATGAGTGATAATTACTCACCTTTTTAAAAGTGAAAAGTCCTGCCTCTGAACTTGCACCACAAGGTACCTATTATGCATTAGTCAGTAAACACTCTTCCATGTGTCCCTAAATCTTGTTTTCTGCTACGGCTTATATGTCCAAGACTGCAGGGATCAAGCTGGCCATATATGTGGGGCTGAACAAGAAAAAACTAACAGTGTATGGCCAGCTGTAGACATACTGCTGGAGCCAAGCCCCACATACCCTCACCCTGTCCAATAAGAGTGTTATTATTGGGCATAAATGCTGTCTCACTGGCAAGATAAATGGGTTTAGCTTCATTGGGTGGGGCTTGGGCCCAAAGATGGACATTTAGGTTCTGGTGAAAAAAGGAAACCAGGATCAGATGGCATGTAGAAGAAGAAAGATAATAGGTTCAAAAGGAACAAACTCTGGAAGTTGTGCCCAAAATAAGGCAGGCAAGGAGCAAAGGACTAGTCACCAGTATTGCCTGTGGTCCCTCTTCAGCTGATCTTTCTCTGATAACAGACTTACCTTGCCTTATTCTGTACTGTGTCTCTCCAGCAAAGAGAAGAATGAGAAACACCGTAATGTTCTCACCCCAATTCAATCCAGATCTCCTTAGGCCTTAGATCTTACACTGCAGGTTTACAGCCATCAGACTATAGACCCACTTGCATACCAGGAAGTGCAATGTTAGCTTTCAGGAGGAATTCCAGACAAACCATTTGTTTATAGGATACTGCTTTAATACTATTAACATTTTCCATGTTTCCTATCATATAGCGAATCTTCAGGTTTTTTGTTTTTAAGGTTCATGTCCACATACTAGCCCAACACCAAACAATTTGTTTTTTGTATGCAGTAAAGTTTGCAAGGGTCACAACTTCCAATATGTATTACCTGGGCTCCTCTGGGGAGTATTTGTTTTTTCTGTATGATTTATCACCTACTTGCCCTGTGCCCCCTTGTCACTTGGACAGGAAGTGAGGGCAAGTACATGTTGGGAACACAGTGCAGTTTATGATCTCCCACCTTGGCTCACTCTTCACTCTCGAATGGAGCCACTGAAGCGATCTGCAATGCTAATGCTTCCCAGAGGTTGCAAGCTTTGTTCATTTCTTGGAACAAATGTACCAAGTCAGAGCTAAGATTAGAAGTAACATTTCACAATTATTGACGACCTGGCTTCTGGTGTTTGTCCAGACCTGTTGTAGCACAAACCACTGAAGCAAACAAGCAGTGCAGTGATTTCCCAGGACTTTCAGTTCTTTCCACGTGTCTTTGCTGTGGATCCTTTGGTACAACACACAACGATGACCTGAGTAGTTCTTACAATTAATGACACAACCAAATATACATATTTTATTGTCGGTTTATTGAAAGATTTGTATAGGATACAAACATGCATTTTAAAGGATGTCAAAGGATGGGTGTGCTAGTGGGTGAGGGGTATGTATGCTCCAGAGACAGGAACCTCAGTCATCTGATAATATTTATGGAGGTTTTAAGCAATGTTGGCCAAATATGGAATTATGGGTAATTTCCATAAAAGAGTTCCATAAAAGTTTCCTATATTTTTTGTTGTGTAACCTTTTATTGATTTCATATTCTTACATTTTACATGACACATTTGTATTGTTTATACTAGGCTAGCTAGTCTTTCGATCCAGACACAACCTTTCAGTGAACCTGCTCTCTTCTTACTTTTAAAAGTCTAGTGCTGCAATGAACGATTATTTTCATGACCAAATAGTCGGCCAATTATTTTTTCGATCAGATAAAAAAAAAACTACTATCTTTTGTATATAAATAAATAGAATAATAATAAATATAAATAAAATACACAAATGCAGTGTTACAAACATTAAAGTTTCCGTCAGCATAAAATGTTATGCATATTTTTTTGCACTCGCACCATCCTGGAATGCATGGCATTGCAGTACAAGGCATTCCAGTGCAGGTGATCGCACTTATATGTATATATATATATATATATTATAAAAGCTCGGTCATCAGTTTAGAGTTGGCCATGAATATTGGCCCGAGAATTATTGCTCTCACTCCAGCACACGCGGCGATACGACATGTGGCGCAATCGCCGGTTTTCTACGAAGGTACACCCGACTTGTGTTTGTTAGTATGCGTGGTGTTGGGGGACTTAACATGTTTGGAGGTACTTTTATTTTAATTTAACTTTATTTTTTACAATTTATTTTTTTTCCACCTCATTGCTATCACATAGGAGGACTCATAAGCCCCCTATGTGATAGCACATTGGAGGTGACATCTTTCCACTTCACTGGGAATGACAGCTGCCTACTGAAGCAGCTGAATGTCAACACAGCGGGCAGTGGCTGGGAGCAATAGCCAGCATGCTATTAGCTATTGTAAACTGCAATAGCCTATAGCAGGTTGGCTATTGCACCCACCCCACTGGCTGCTGTCAATCAGCAGAGGAGGGAACTGAAGTAGAAAGTTCTCCCTCAGGTCATCCTCTGCTGATTAACAGCAGGCAGTGGGCGGGTGCAATAGCCAGCCCGCAATTGCTGATGGGAGACTTGACGCCGGATTTCTACCACTGGCAGAAGAGGGGGCATGGGGGCAGCAGCGAAGGCACGTGGGCAGCAGCAGAGGAATCCGATCTGATTCATTGTCACTTTGAGGTCCTAACTGCATAGCTAAGCCTGTCCATTCCGCCATTCAGTGAGACTACCCCAGTGGCCAGTAAGGACACTCTCATTAGACAGTTGGTGGAGCATAGTTATAATGTCCGCTCCCAGCAACAAAAACTAAATGGCTGAGGGACTCAAGAGCCTAATAAAAGGTAATAGTATGTGTCATGTAAAATGGAGTACTGGTTCACTTTAAGCCCATGATTATAACCATTCCAATTGCAAAGACTACCAAACACAAGCCTTAAACATTACTTCTGGTTGTTGTGCTTTGAAGTTCTGGAGGTTCCTTATTCAGGCCTCTTGCATCAATGTGTCACAAATCATATTCACCTAAACATTTCCATGTGTCTCCTATTTTAGAGTGCATTTGCATTGCCCACCATGGCCTTCTCATTTCTGTGCCATACATCTGTCCTGCCCATTTACTGTGAGCTGAGAAGGTAGGTTACATTCATACCCTTAGTGCAGCTGCTATCCATATCTGTTTTTATGTCTTTCATATCATGTCAAGATATTTATTTGGTTTTACATTGTCAATAGTGTCATTTACAATATAGGACAATTTTTGAAAAAAAAGTTGTCTTTGAAATGCTACATAAGGTTGTTGTGGTTGATTTTATGGTATGGTAGTTGCCTTTAGTTTTTAGTGTCAGTTATCTAACTTTGTTTTTTCTTCAATTATTAACAGTCCGTCCAAGAGTCGGATGCAGAATGTGGCAAACATCGGAATATTCCTGAGCTTTCTCATCTACTTAATTTCCGCACTCTTTGGCTACCTCACTTTTTACGGTAAACAGTAATTTCTATATTACAATAGTCATCAGAACCTTATTTAAAACCTAATTCTAGTTTATAGAATCTTTAAGAGCCTGTTTACACTTCTGCCCTATCTTTGGCTTTCTACTCTGTGCTTGTAACCTCAACACACCATGGTCCAGCAACAGTCTTCTTCCAGGTTGAATGACGCCCAGCATCCAAGTCCAAGGCCTCAAAAACCCAACCCCTGGGGAGACTGTCATGAAGCTGCCATGGACCTTTTAGTTTTGGATAGAATAGGCAAGGCTAACACTCATATCAGGTTATATTTTTATATACAGTATACCGTATATACTCGAGTATAAGCCGTCCCGAATATAAGCCGAGGTACCTACTTTTAAAAAAAAAAAACTGGGAAAAAGTATTGACCCGAATATAAGCCGAGGTACCTACTTTTAAAAAAAAAAAACTGGGAAAAAGTATTGACCCGAATATAAGCCGAGGTACCTACTTTTAAAAAAAAAAAACTGGGAAAAAGTATTGACCCGAATATAAGCCGAGGTACCTACTTTTAAAAAAAAAAAACTGGGAAAAAGTATTGACCCGAATATAAGCCGAGGTACCTACTTTTAAAAAAAAAAAACTGGGAAAAAGTATTGACCCGAATATAAGCCGAGGTACCTACTTTTAAAAAAAAAAAACTGGGAAAAAGTATTGACCCGAATATAAGCCGAGGTACCTACTTTTAAAAAAAAAAAACTGGGAAAAAGTATTGACCCGAATATAAGCCGAGGTACCTACTTTTAAAAAAAAAAAACTGGGAAAAAGTATTGACCCGAATATAAGCCGAGGGTGGGAAATGAGGCAGCTACTGGTAGATAGATACCAATAAAATTACATTAATATTTATTTAAAAGAAAAATAACCTAGCTCTGTAAGTGGAAAAGGGGGTACAGGGCTACATATCATGTACTACGGATCATTTAACCCATTCATGTTAGCAGAGGATCATTGTAAATGTATTGTTGCAGGCACTCTATATGTACATGTACTATATACTACATATAGAGTGCACTGAACAATAGATTTACAATTATCCTCTGCTAATATGAATGGGTTAAATGATCCGTAGTACATGATATGTAGCCCTGTACCCCCTTTTCCACTTACAGAGCTAGGTTATTTTTCTTTTAAATAAATATTAATGTAATTTTATTGGTATCTATCTACCAGTAGCTGCCTCATTTCCCACCCTCGGCTTATATTCGGGACGGCTTATACTCGAGTATATACGGTATGTCCACCTGGGAAGATTTCCCTTCACTTTCTGTCCTTGGCATGCACAGGAAACCAGAAGAAATTTCCCACCTTTAAGGTGCCCATGCACCTGCCGATTATGGTACAATAATCGCGGGTGATCCCGCGATCGTACGATAATCGGCAGGTGTATGGAAGGCTTGCGACCGTTTCTACTGTAAGGTCGCACGACTTTAGTCTCCCGAGCAGGCTTGAAAACCTGCCGAGAATCGTGCGATTTTCGGCGGGTTAGTGGCGTTCTCGGGAGACAAATGCCGCAAGCGCACACTGCCAGCTAAGGATTGGAATCCTCGGAAGCCCTCCCCTCAGCGGGTAGGGCTTGCGATGATCGCAAGAACGATCTGCCTGTCCATCGCAGGATGAAAGTTGTGCCATGGTTGTGAGGTGTATGGGCACCGCTCTAAAATTTTGGATTTCCCCTTGGTCACTAGGACAATTGGGAGGTGAATCTCCCCAGTGCACACACAGACTGCAAAACAAACTTAGAGTTTCTAGCCCATCTCCACTCTATCCAAAACTTTAAGTATTATGTTAAAGTGAAACTAAACTCAGGAGTTAAATCTTAAAAATGCATTAAAGTACCTTCACTATTAACAAAAATGTATCTTATTTGTGTATCACTCGGCTGTAGATCCTCAAATCATCTCTGAATTGGTGCCGACACTGTCCTTCCTTCTGGAGGGTGGCTACTTTTGTTCCCCATGGTCCCTGTGTGTGTTGTAAAGTAGTCACCGCTCCAAGCTCACTCCTGTGATGGACTACAATCTCATGTTTAGTTTACTAATTTGTATTGAGAATGTAGTCTATCACAGGAGTGAGCTTGGAGTGGTGGCTACTTTACAACACACACAGGGACCATGGGGAACAAAAGTAGCCCCCCTCCAGAAGGAAGGACAGTGTCAGCACCAATTCAGAGATGATTTGAGGATCTACAGCTGAGTGATGCACAAAGATACATTTTGTTAATAGTTAAGGTACTTGAATGTATGTTTAAGGTTTTACTCCTGAGTTTAGTGTCACTTTAATTCTTCAAGGTTTTTTTGTTTTCTTTGAGCTTCTGTTGTGTTTTACATATTGTGAAATGAAGACAAATTCAACATAAGAGGGTCACTCACTAGTAATTGTATTAGCTGGTCGGAACACTGATGCAGTGACCTCTCCTTGAGTGATATTAGGTACTAGTTGGTGATTTAACCCACCAGCATATTTCCAAAGCTAAAATACTAGTTGTGGGTGGGTAGACCTTTTGAAATAAGCATTTTACTAGCTACACCTCACCCGTCAATGTCTGTTATAGAAACCTTCTTCTGTGGTATACTTACTTTATCTCCATTGTCTTGTGTTCTTATAGATAAAGTGGAGTCTGAATTGCTGCAAGGTTATAGCAGATTCCTTCCTAATGATGTTCTGATTATGACTGTCAGGCTCTCCATTCTACTTGCTGTACTTCTGACTGTGCCACTTATACATTTTCCTGTAAGTAAATGTATTCAGTGACAGTAAATAAAGATGAGGTAGATGTATGTAAAGATGGTTTAATAAATACTTTGTTGTAGTTGTGATTTAGCTGCAAGCGGTTGGCTGGTAGTAACTCACCACTGTCAGTTTTACCTCCTGGTTGGCTTGCTTTAAATGTTAGCTTTGCATATTCTTAAGGTAGAACTTTGGCCAGGCTATGGACATTCAAATATCATGATATTCTTAAGAAGCAGTAAATAAGCTTTAAAATAAGCCACCCCTTCCTCATATAGTTAAAGCCACTGTGGAGCAGTTCATGCTCAAACTTTACAAGAGAGAAGCAGTGAAGTTGTTCAAGTCTAGACTTGGTGTTCTTTTTTCCCCCTCCACCTGATCTCTGTATAAAGATTAGAATGTTGGCAGGGGAAGCTAAGCTTCTGAGATAAAATTAAATGGAAAGCTGCTGCTGTAAATTTGGAGGATGAATTGCTCTGCAGTGCCTGCAGCTGCTTAGGTCAGTGTTGGATTTTTTTGAAAGCTTGTTCACTGCTTGATAAGAATTTGTAAATATTTTAATGTCCATAGTCTGGCCACAGTTCTACTTTTAAACAGCTCAAATAACTCCTTAAGCTGGATCCTACAGATATGTTACCTGAACAGTGGAGTTGACCTTCATGGGTGGGAGGAAATTGCTGTCCAAGAACAAGAGGATACTTGTGCATAGAGAGAAGGTGTGTGGGGGGGGGAGGGAGGAGGTCAGAGGTCGTAGGTCGTGTTCACAGACCGTTGTTCCTTTATTGTTTTCAGGCTAGAAAAGCCGTCATGATGATGATCTTCTCCAATTATCCCTTCTCATGCATCCGCCATATATTGGTGACACTGGGCCTAAATATAACCATCGTGCTCCTTGCCATATATGTGCCAGATATACGGAACGTGTTTGGTGTAATCGGTGAGTACTCGCTGTAAACGCAAAATTACCATTGACTCAACTGGTTAAAATGAAAATATATGAACTGTAATAAATACATAGTACAGAGGTCACTTTGAGATGATGTTTTAACTTTAGATATGTGATCAGCAATACCCTGGATGTAACATGATTGCGTTAATTCTGACCCCCACTAGCACCACACACTCACCTAGTCTTTGCTCCAAATGGATGAACAGAGCAGCAGGAAAGCAAAGAAATATATGCAGTACTTCAAGGTATGAGGTGTCAGTGTAGTTCACTCCCCTTTCTCTTATGGGACAACGCTGGTGCTTGGCGAGTGACCGCTCAGTACTCCTCACTGTCACAGATGGTGTGAAGAGTCCTCAGCCATGTGTATTACTTACACACGTATTATCATGGCACTTACAGAGAATGATCTCTACTTGTCTCCAGCGGCGTAGCGTATGTTAGTATTAACCTGCACAGTTGCTGGCTTTGATCTTGTTACTTTGCCCTCCATAGGCATTGCACAGGTTCACTTTAACTCTAAAACTTAACCAAATAGTATTAAACCCCCATAGTGCAAATTGATCTACTGCCGCAAGCTCCATTTAACTAACATTTAAATAAATATCTTTAGCCTCATTTTGTGCAACACACTTACATTTGCCATTTGAAAAATCTCCAGCCTGTGCTCCTCTCTGCTGCACTTCACCTGAACTTCCATTCAGGGTGCGTGTACTGTGCTTTGGGACTGCATTTCCCATAATTCCTTGTCCATCCATCACACTGCACATGCATGCCCATAGCACAGAACCACAATGAACACAATAGTATGGGCCCTGGCCACACACACGCGCGCACACACACACACACACACACACACACACACACACAGAGCACTACTGTCACAATGAACACAATAGTATGGGCCCTGGCCACACACACGCGCGCACACACACACACACACACACACACACACACACACAGAGCCCTACTGGAGTAGGTGCAATGAGACGGACCTCTGCCACACTGCGCATGCACGCCGTTTGTATGCGTCCGAGCGTGCACAAAAAGATTCGGCCAGGCACACACAGTCCAGTGTGGCTCCAGGAAGACCTGCAAGGCAATGGAGCCACCCTTGGAGGCAGAAATGAGCTTCAAACATGAAAAATGCTGCAGAGTGGCTGAACACAAAAAGGGGAGTGGAAACATGCTACAACAATATGCTGCTATGTTTCTCTTTTTCTCCAGGGAGGGTTTAATATCACTTTAACCCCCTAACTTTAATCTAACACCATCATTCTGTATACTCACCTTATGCTGCTCAAGGAACCTGTCAGATGCCAAAGCTGAGAGTGGCCAAAGCTAGTGATCCACAATTTTGCTTGCTTAGCAATTTATGTGAGATTGCAGCAACCCACGTCATTCACATTACTGTAGTAAATAGGTGAAAGAGTCATTCTAGTTGCTTGCTCTGTATTCTTGCCCTAAATGTGCTTTATAGGAAGGTTTAAAAAAAATGTTTTGTTTGTTCAGGATCTACGACTTCGACGTGTTTGCTGTTTGTGTTTCCTGGAATGTTTTACTTGAAGCTTAGCTTTGAAGACTTTTTATCTCGGCAGAAACTTGGGGTATGTTACTGTTTTTATTGTTCATAAGCTTTTCACTTTTGCTCTGCTTTCCCACGGAGTCATAGCTTACTATGGATATATTCCGAATTGCTTGTTTAGGCCTCATTCACACTGCCGTACAATACGCTGCGTATATGCGCGTATTGTCCCATATCCAAATAAATGGCTCCATACACATAGCTGCGCATGGAGCCATATATTTGCGCTGCGTAAAGATGCGCAAAAACAGAATGGACCCGAGATGCGTCCAGGCAACATTTCTGCGTATTTTACGCACGTATACGCACACACAGTTCATTAAAATTTCTATTACGAAATGCATTCTGGGGATTGCATATAGTGCATGCGTGCATATACGCAATATACAATTTTGCTCTTGCTTTGTGTGTGTATGAGGCCTTAACACCTTAGACATATTCAGTTTTGGGCATTCTCGCGAGATTTTGTATTTGCTTTTAAAAACACGTGTTTCTTCCTGCATTGAGATGTCTATGAGACCAAAACCACGCGGCATCCACATGAAAATAGCTCCCGCATCTTTTCATGCGACGCAACACTAGGGTGTGAACAGTCGCCATTAACTTGCATGGAAATGTGTGTTTTGTGCGTTTTCACATGACTAGATCTGCACAGAAAAACGCTCAGGTGTGAACCAGGCCCCCCCTGCCATCTTTAATTAAAAAGAAAGCATCCAAAACTGATGTTACAGTGCTTGGCAGAGATGCTGGCGACATAAACCACAGGGACTCCTTTGGTAAGATCTGTGTTGCTGGGTCTGCACACCTACTGTGGCCATTATGAGGGGGTCCCTATGTGTGTTGTAAAGTAGTCACCGCTCCAAGCTCGCTCCTGTGATGGACTACAATCTCACATTTAGTTTACTCATTTGTATTGAGATTGTAGTCCATCACAGGAGTGATCTTGGAGCAGTGACTACTTTACAACACACACAGGGACCATGGGGGATAAAAGTAGCCACCCTCCAGAAGTCTGCACCTTATTACTAATACTGAACCTAATGTGTGTATCACTCGGCTGTAGATCCTCAAATCATCTCAGAATTGGTGCTGACACTGTCCTTCTTCTGGAGGGGGGCTACTTTTGATCCCCATGGTCCCTGTGTGTGTTGTAAAGTAGTCACCGCTCCAAGCTTGCTCCCGTGATGGACTACAATCTCAATACAAATGAGTAAACTAAATGTGAGATTGGAGTCCATCACGGGAGCGAGCTTGGAGCGGTGACTAC